CATCGATGTTACAAAATCTTCAAACCGTTGCCACTTTGACACACAGGTGAACATTAAGCAGAGCAAATAAAACTCAACTCACAGGCATATTTTCTTGTTCTGTAAGAACGACAAATAATAAAATGGCACAAAGTGGTACGGAACTGTATTAAACTGAAGAGGCATTCCATTTGTTTTGCTGTTGCCATGATCATAATGACTATATGAAGACATAAAAAACCCCAACTTTAAAACATGTGATATAAAGGGGGGGGGGGTGATGTGAACGATGAATCGTGACATATCGTAGTTTCCTGCACTGTATTTTTTGACAACCCTAGTGGCTGCATGTTGTTCTTGTGTGACTTTATTCTATAACGTAAGCAACAATGCAGATAAAAATGGCTTCATTCAGCACTTCCCACTTCAGTGACGCCCAAACTCACCAGGGAAATGGCTGTGTGTGTTTATGACGGAGAGAAGAAGCGTAGCTGCAGCCCTTATTTGGTCATGTAGTTTGGTTTAGTGCGTTTGCCACAGAATGATTCACAGACCTGTTACATCACAGCTAAGGCAGACGGGATGGATCACTTGTACTCTACTGCAACACGCTTCCGTTTGAGAGAGAGAGAGAGAGGGAGAGAGAGAGAGGGAGAGAGAGAGAGAGAGAGAGAGAGAGAGAGAGAGAGAGAGAGAGAGAGAGAGAGAGAGAGAGAGGTGTGTGTGTGTGTGTGTGTGTGTGTGTGTGTGTGTGTGTGTGTGTTTGGTTGAAGGAGAGAGAGAATGATGGAAACACACACACACACACACACACACACACACACACACACACACACAAACACACGGATGCCCTACTTTTCAGCAACATTGAGATATATGTCCTACCGTGGAGCAGTGAATGTGTTATGCAATATCGGTTGGTATCAAAGAACGGGAAGGCATTGGCTGATGGGAGCAGAGCGTCTCTCAGCTTATCACGGATAATATTATGTGTATGATTTGGAGACAATATAAAGTGCATTGTAGAGTGCAGAGGCGACTTGCCATCATGGACAGCTGCACTTGGATCCCACCGTAAAGAGTTGTTTGGCTTTGTTTAGAATATGTATCCATCCGTTCATTCTCTGAATCGCTTATCCTTACAAGGCTTGCGGGAGTGCTGTAGCTTATCCCAGCTGTCTTCGGGCAATAGGTGAGGTACACCCTGAACTAGTTGCCAGCCAGTCGCAGGGTACACATTGACAAACAACCATTCACGTTCACAATCACTCCTACAGACAAGTTTCTGTTATCAAGCTAAGATGTTTGGAATGTGGGAGGAACCAGAGTACCCAGAGAAAATCCGCATAGGTACGGGGAAAATAATGAAACTCTTACACAGGAAGGCTGGGGCCCAGAATCAAATTTTTATGTTTAATGCAGAGCGGGAGTTTCATTGCAATAAAAACGTGTAAATAATAATACAATAAAGTTCACCTTCCTAGCATGTATTTGTCGGACTTCCTCTTGCTTACCGGTCCAAGAATAGCCCCGAGTGATGGTCTAGTGGCCAAGACTGGCCTAGGGGCACAGACATTAGTTTCTAACGATCTCAACAAATGACATTTCGTGGGTGTAAACAGCGTCATCCTGCACATTTCTTTGTCATTTGATTGTTTCATATTAATGGCCCAGGAGTGTTTTCATACAAAAAGTTGGTAAATTCTGAAGTTACAAATGCAAGGGATAAATTATTTTGTGCAGCATTATAGGAATATATGAAAAGAAGGCATGCCCACTTACAGCCATACTTACTTTTTCTTCAATAAAATGTTAAGTGTAATTCTGTCTGTACTACAGCACTTTAGGTTAGGGAAACACTACAGCATGTTCTGAGTTAAGCAAGAGCACGCTGAGCAAAGTCGCTGAATGCTACTGAAAAATACAGTCCTGTCACACAGTGTTCTGTAACTGGTTGTCGAATCATATGTGAACAGCAGTGAAACATCCAGCCATCCATTTTCTGATCTGGTGATCCTCACAAGGGTCACAGGCTTGCTGGAGCCTATTCCAATTGTCTTCAGGCAGCAGGCAGGGTACACCCTGAACTGGTTGGGCATTGAAACAGCAATCATATATACAGCCAATCAAAATGCTACAATAGCACATGATCTTTTCACAACAAAAATTAAATTACATTACATTATTTGTAGGTCACAAAAGAGAACCAACCTGGCGTGGTCCCTACAAACATAATTTTGTGTGTGTGTGTGTGTGTGTGTGTGTGTGTGTGTGTGTGTGCGTGTTTTGGTAATGGCTGATAAACTGATATATATACCCTTAAACTGCACCTGCTATAGCTAGTCATATCGACTATGTGGCTGAACAATTTATCGTGATCGTAGCTAAATCTAGATATGAACATTCAAGATGGCCCAATGTCGCAAAATCAACTATTACGTTTTCTCAGCTTGAAACTGCTTTTGCGACTCATTTTTGCGCATGCTTTCACTTATTTGAAAAGTCCTCTCGATTTTTTTTTCTTTTTAACAAAAGTATAATACATACTTGATGTGCACGGAAGGGACGTCTTCAATATCAGGTATGAATTTGCCCAAAGGTAGAGATTTTTACCCTACCATCCAATCGTGGCAATTGATTATGTCTTTGTATTTTCTTCCGTTTGCACTGCTCAGTGCAATAGAAATGCCCAAATTGTACGCCTGTATCAGCTTGCTGTTTTCTCCTGTTCTTATAGGGGAATGCTTGTTGCACACTATTTTGAAGCTTCGACATTTAGGAGCTGCAACTTGTGCTCCTTCAGGAGTTGGACCGGGCACATTTTTCCAAACGTAGTGGGAGAATGGGAGATTTTGGCAGGATTTATATATTTATTTCGTCATTTATTTTTATTACAAAACGATCCATTGCTGAGATGGACTGCAAGATAATTATCTAACCTCATGCCCCTATCCCACTGAGCTGCCAACATTTTCGACTGTTGGCCAAGGGAGCAAAATGTGCGTCCACATGAGGGTTCATTCAAGGTTGCAAATGCTCCCAAAGCATTCACCAAACGTTCTCCAACAGTTTTAATGTTTTTTGTTGGTGTAAGGAAAATTTGAACATGTTCAAAATTCCCTTGCAACAAGGAAAGTCCAGGCAAACTTCTGAAAAACGTCTGGCGACCATGAGGCGAACATTTGCGACCTTGAATGAACCATGACGGGATCGCAAAATTTGCCGCCTTCGAAAAGACTAGCACATGTTCGCTGCTCAGTGGCAAAGGGGCTTTTAAGGCATGGTCGTACATTCACTCTGATACCCAGGCACTACTCTGAAAATGTGTGTTCAGAGGAATAGAGTGTGCTCCGCTCCCATTAATTTCCTGCACATACCTTGAAAGACTAGCACAGTGCTGTTGATGTAATTGAATTGAATTGATATTTTGAATCTGAGCCAGAAAATCTTGCACAAAAATATCAGTTTTTTTTTTTTTCCCACCTGAATCCTCATTGACTTTCTCATAATTTTTTGGAATATTAATACAAGAGGATACCTTATCATTTGCTGAATCAGGGGCAGTGAGACAGCTGTTAGCACTGCTGCGAGTTACATCTAAGTGCGTCATCGCTTTTTGTTCCTCCCCTCCAAACGCATCGCATTTTGATGAAACATGCGCTATGGAAATGTTGGTCGCCAGGGTAGTTAAATAATGACTTTTTACACCTAATTTAGGCTCATTTACCGCGTGTTTAGCTGGGTTTTCTTTACAGGAAACATGGCACACTTTAACAAAAAGAAACTGCTGTTCTAAAACCGGTCATTGGCCAAAAATACACTACTTTCAGTTTACGTTCGCCCAAAATACAAAAGCGTCCATGAACGTTCATGCAATGAACTTGTTCAGGTACAACACTGCCCATGCATTTCATGTGCTCCTCGAAAGACTGAGGTCTCGGGTCAGGTCTGCATGTCATTTCCCTTGTGTCTGTGTACACTATATGAACAGTATATATTGTTTTTTAAAGAACATACTTACCATATCTGCAATTCCATGTGTACAGCACTTGTGGCTAAAAAGCGAGGCATGTAGAGTGTTTCTGCCACTGAAATGGATGCCTGAAAATCTGCGGTCAGATTTGTTCGGATTCCCACATATTCACAGTCTCTTCTCTATTCTTGCCTGTTTCCTGTCTTTGTATTGTCCACCAATGGAGCCAAGTGCAGCGATTAGCGCGTTGGGCAAGCTGGTATTTCCTTGACAATTACGCCATGTTGTTTGTGATCGAACACAATAATTAACAGTAGATGGAACTTGAAAACTCAATAACACCATGGATCATGTTTTTATTTATTTATTTTTTTTATTGTTGTGAGTTAAAGGTGTGTGAGGCCGTTTGAAAATTAAATACAATAATCATACTTAATCAGTGATATAACCCTATTAGCATTGTTATTCACTGTTCCTCAGGCCATTCGAACTATAACACTCCATGCAATAACATGAATGATTGATGTAATATAATACGGGAATTAAATTGCCAGGCCCCCTCTGCAAGATCTCTGACTCACCACTCACATTTTCGATTTGTTTGTCCACTATTCACAGGTAGTATGAAAGCAACTCTGCAGCCTGACAAAATTTAAAAAGAAGTTGATGTACTTTAAATTGTTGTGTATTATCACAATTGAATTAGTGCATCATTAGTCATCGGAATATATTGGAACTACAATTCAGCTCAGCTCCCAACAGTACTTTTTGGAAAGGTAAACTTTGATATTTCCATCATAGGGTTAGTAGGCCGGAGAGAAATAGCTGCTACAACAATACGAAGAGTGTAACATCATACCATTGCAACACAGTCCACACATGCTAATAAGTTCCACGTAGAAGCTCTTCTTTCCATTGATATCCTCAGGCCTCCCATACAATGAGTGACATGGCTGAATGCCACTGAAATGGACAGTCGTTAAAAAAACATAATTATTTTTTTTGTACGGATCGTGATGAATGCTTTTTTTTGTGTGTCTTTCTCCAGGCACATTTCAGGGCCAGTGGGTTGGAGGGATGCGGCACGGCTATGGTGTTCGTCAAAGTGTCCCATATGGTATGGCGGCCGTCATCCGCTCCCCTCTCCGTAACTCCATCAACTCACTTCGCTCCAGCTCGGAACAAAGTAACGGTACAGCCCTGCTTGACCGGAGTGGCGCGGGAGTTCCTGTTCCTCCCCCTCTTCCTGGTACCTTGTCCACGAGCGTCTCCATGTGCAGTACAGGAAGCAGTGGCAGTAGTCCTGCAGTTTCTCGAGGGGGTTTCGTACTGACGGCGCACAGTGAAACTGAGCTCCTAAAGGGCAAGCGGAAGAGCGGACTGTTCAGGAGATCTATTCTGTCCGGGCTTAAACTGAGGAAGTCTGAGTCCAGGAGCTCTCTGGCGTCTCAAAGGTCTAAACAGAGTTCGTTCAGGAGTGAAGCTGGGATGAGTACTGTGTCTTCAGCTGCGTCTGACATCAACTCTACTATCAGGTATGAGATGGCATCAAGCAAAGCGAAGAATTGCGATGCGTTCTAGTTGACATACTAGTACCAAGAAAAACTAGTGAGGACAACTAGCTGTTAATCTAGCTTTTAAAAAAAGACATAGGCCTACAATGCATTTTGGTAACTTCATTAAAAACTCAGACTTTCTTCAGTGAAGGTGGATATTGAACATATTTAATTCATAAATAGGTGAACAACAGGCAAAAAAAAATCTGAATCATTGTAGAAATAAATTGATTGAGCGCATTGTAATTATTGTTATTATTATTACTTTTATGATTATTATTGTTAGTATTGGAAATGCTCTGCGATTGGCTAGCAACCAGTTCAGGGTGTGCCCCGCCTACTGCCCAGATATTTGTGATCTCCCCCCTTGTAGAGTTAAACCATTATGGAAAAAAATAATAATCATAATTATTTTGGTTGAGTTTGACATCACACTGATGATGATGAAATGATTATTCATTGATTTCAAAACTTTGAATTTATTCAACAGCCAAAATCAACTACTCAAAACTATCATCAAAGCCTCATGCCCATTCATCCTGAAATGTTGAACACACTATTCTTGAATAATCTATTCTTTTTGTCCAGTACAAAATTAACATTTTAAATGTAATAAATTCAGCCGGCCCGGTGGACCAGTGGTTAGCACCTTGACCTCACAGTGCAGAGGTCGTGGTTTCGATCCCGGCTCCGTCCTTCCTGTGTGGAGTTTGCATGTTCTCCCCGTGCCTGCGTGGGTACTCCGGTTTCCTCCCACATTCCTAAAACATGCATGGCAGGCTGATTGAACACTCTAAATTATCCCTTGGTGTGAGTGTGAGTGTGGATGGTTGTTCGTCGCGTGCCCTGCGATTGGCTGCCAATGAGTTCAGGGTGTCCCCCGCCAACTGCCTGAAGACGGTTGGGATAGGCTCGAGCACCCGCCGTGACCCTGGTGAGGATATACGGATCGGCAAATGGTTGGATGGATGGATACAACAATATCAATTGAAAATAAGAAAAAACAAATACCAACTGTTCCCGAGCATTTGAGATGAGAACAGAAAAAAGTGGCGATTGAGCTCGATAGGTTGCTTGCACGTGAAGTCATTGCTGCTTTGTATTTTTTTTCGCTCACCATCTTGGGTGGATAGCTTTCAACTGCTTCCATTTGATTGCATAACATGCTACGTGGTCGCTCTTAAAATCTTGCTGCATTATTTGGGTCTGCCGAAGATAAATATGCACTTGGGCCAGGAGACAAGACAGAAATGTCTAACCACAACAAGTGAAGTGGCAGAGTAACATCTCCCGTGCAGACCTCCATGGCCAAACAATGGTTCGGGCTCGTTTGTGCAGTGATCCACTTTGTGAGCGGTATGTTTGCCTACCTTTTAAATCATAGTGATATAATAGATTGTTTTATATAGACCACTATAACAAAATATGTCATTTTAGCCAAGAGCTAAGGTCTTGAAACAAATCCCAATCGCTTCTATTGATATAAGCGAATAATAGCAAAGTGTTTTCTGCTGAAGCAGGATGGAGTAAAGCCCCAGTTGTATAACCAATATGAAGTCTGGTTTATTAGTCTGTCTTTCACTGTCGCTGTTGAAGTCACAGGAGTGAGAGGTGCGTTATCAGCACAACAAACAAGCCGAAGGCAGCAGTCAAGTTGACTATACCTGAAAAAGTTGACAAACGTTGAGCTTCATCGCCACATTATGATGTTCAATAATGCGCAGATAAATCACTGCACTGTGTGGATACTGCATGTGCAATCGAGCCCGCCATTGCCCGCTATTACCGGTAGCTGTACAACATTAACAGAGGTCGACGGTTTACACACCCATGCAACGGCTTCTTGCTTTGAAAGTTTGCACTCTGTATCGATCCGCTTACAAAATGGTTGTAATCCTCCAGTGATTTTTAAGCTTTCATCTGGCGTATGTCACAGAGCGTGTCGTCAATATTTATTCAACAATGTCGGGATCTCTGCCAAAAATATCAGCCTTGGACACCATATATGGGTAGATTACTCCAAACAGTGGAACTCTGTGCCAGTGTAGCGGTTGTAGATCATCTGGCAGGTCATCAAAACACTTTGAAAATGCCAACACTTCCATCCACCCCTTTTTAAATCTGATTATCCACGCACGCACAAGGGGCCATGCAAACCCCACACAGGAAGGCTGGAGCTGGAATCAAACCCTGAACCTTTGCACTGTGAGGCGAATGTACTAACCAATGCACACCGTGCCGCACACCAAAACCTGTAAAACAAATTGATGATCACTGTTAACAGCTGCGTGTAGCGTGTGCAACCTCCCAAGATGGCTGCGGTAGAAAAAAAACGACCTACCTTGCGCCACGATGCATGCAAGCGACCTAATAATAAAACTTATTTTTCACTGATTGGGAAGAATTTGCGCCTTTGAGTAGAGTAGTGCCATCTTACCCCGTGCGTATGTGTTTCCACAGCTTTTGTGTATTATTTGAAGTAATGTCACTCCCAAAGTTGATGCTAATTTCCCGTTAGCATTTGAACGGGATCCTCCATTGACTGAAGCATTAGGACTAGCAATGTTTTAAAAACAAAGCAAGTTTTGTTTTTAAATATACAACGTGGTTCATTCTTTTTGTGAGTTTAGTTTTTCAAACCCTAACTCGGGTGTCATTAAACAGCTTAAAGCACGCTAAGGGATGGCAACATCACATACGCTACACACTTGCTACGCAACTACTGTAACACAGTGTAATCAGGGTGCTTTCACAGCACCGAGAACTTGCACCATGATGTTCTGCACATTCATCGTTTTTCTTCAATTATAATGTTTTGAAGTTTGAGACGAGCCACAATTGAAATCCCAATTTAAATTTCATGGTCCAGCCGTACTCTCACGTCAACTTGACATCATTCACACATGGAGGTCTGCCTGCAGTTCCATACAAACTGTAAACCAACTTTGCGCCCCTCGACCTGCCAATGGGCAGATCAATTTCTCCTTGGGAAAAATGTGGTTGTCCGTGTTCCGCTATATTGAGACTGTCAGCGTGCGATTGGTGGCTGCATTTAATTAAAGAGAACGAGATGAGCTGCTTTGATTGGACATGGTCAGCTGTGTTCATTGGCACAGCTGGGCAAACCTGGCTATTTTAGATATGTCAGATCGTGCTGGACTGCGAAATTACCAGCACACAGTCTAACCCACCTACATACAGATTTATGTCACCCAATCCACCAGATTTCATGAAAATAGAACACTGTGTGTACCGTGATATGTTTCATTCATTTTTTTACTTCGAGCCCATTGAGCTGGCTCAAATTTATGTGTCAAAAGATGAATTCAATTTAAAATTCCTGATTCAAAATGGAAAAATTTAGATTTTGAAATTTTTTTTTAAAATGTTTTGTTATTTTCACTTTTATTGCAGATCATATAATCTATTTCATGAGTCCTGTACATACAGTGTATTGCATTGTCTTACTCCTTGGTATATTATACACCCTAATTTTGTTGCCACACATACAAAACCCATCTTCAATTGATTTAAACCCCCCCCCCCTTCCACCCCCAAAAAAAAAAAAAACGGAAAACTACAGCTGTCAAAGAAGGTATTCACAGGCTGGACATACAGTTAGATCTTCAAGATTTGCATGTGGAAAGTTCCGCACTTCTTGAAATCCTCTGTCTCAAATTCCAGGCATTCAGGATTGAGTGGTTTATTTTTAAAGGCACTAAGCAGACTGACAAACACTGCATGCTAAACACTACTGTCAGCAGCTCTTAACCTGTTTGTGGGCTGAGTGGTTGACAAATGCTTCTGGCCACTTGTTATCGGCAAAGCTGATAGAGGCAGAAACACATGCACACATGCATTCCCTTATGCTTTTTGTTTGTTGTTTGTCATGAAGGGATGCCGTGACAATTTTCTTGTGTTAGTTGCTGATTAATGTTGCAAAGGGATGGAACATTTCTGGAATTTGCATATTCTCCCTGCCTGTATGGGTTTTCTCCGGGGTACTCTGGTTTCCTTCCACTTTCCAAAGACATGTATGGCAGGCTAATGGAACATTCTAAATTGTCACTTGGTGTGATTGTGAGCGCGAATGGTTGTTTGTCTATGTGTGCCCTGCGATTGGCTGGTGTCTTACTTCCCAAAGACAGCTGGGATAGGCTCCAGCACGCCCGCACCCCTTGTGAGGATAAACGGATTAGAAAATGGATGGATGGATGGATGAATGCATTTACAAATGTTCGATACCACTTTTTTTCAGATTTGGGGTGGCAGCTGTGCATATCTCTCCTCTTTGTTGTCACTGGTAGTCAACAACACAAAAAAGCAGAACAAAAATGCAAAATACACTTAGGTCTTAATCCTAATGGATGTCTTGCAATAAAGCTTTCATTTGACAGGGTAAATACAAGTTTTTGGGCAACTTTAGAGCCATATGTTCCCTTTGTTTCTGTTCATTTTTTTGGAGGAATCTAAATTGTTCAACATTGGAGGCTGCACAGTACATTTACTCCAAGTTTGTGATCCGTGATATTGACAATTAGTTGTTACTTCCTTTTAAAATTTGTTTGGAAATTTTAAAATTTGACACACTCTATCCAACCAACAAAATAGCCTTGAAAGTCACAGATAATATTCAAAACAAACAACCTGTTTATTCTTATACTGTATGTATATTGTATATCTTGCATGTTATTCTGTATGGTCTTGAAACAGTTTGTTCCTCGAAAACTGAACTTCATGATTAAATTCAACATCATCCTAACTAAGGCCATCTTTCTAGTCTCGGAGATGCAGATGCGGAGTTGGCAGCAGCTGATGATGATGTGGACGCCACAGCAACAGAGACCTATTGTGGGGAGTGGAAAAATGACAAGAGGACAGGATTCGGAGTTAGCCGGCGGTCCGACGGGCTGCAGTATGAGGGGGAGTGGCTCAGCAACAAACGCCACGGCTATGGCTGCACCACATTTCCTGACGGAACGAAGGAAGAGGGGAAGTACAAGCAGAACATCCTGGTGAGTGGCAAGAGGAAGAATCTGATCCCGCTCCGAGCCAGTAAGATCAGAGAGAAGGTGGACCGAGCCGTGGAGGGAGCACAGAAGGCAGCAGACATCGCACGCCAAAAAGCTGAGATTGCTCTTTCCAGGTAGTTGATTGTGCAAAATAACACGTGACGCTCATTTTCAGCACATCCTCCACGCAGTTCTCAGGTTGAGGGCTCAAATGTGAGCTCAGGCCATCCCGTGTTGAAATTGCATTTTATCCACGTGTGGGTTTTCTCTGGCTACTCCAGCTTCCACCCACAATTCAAAAAGATGTTGGGATTCATTGACAATTCGAAATTGTCTGTCAGTGTGAATTTGAGTTTGAATGCTTGTTTGTCTACATCTGCCATGTGAGTGGCTGGGGGCCACGGTGTTCCCTCCATCTTGCCCAAAGTAAGCTTGGATAGCCTCCAGCTCGCTCATGACTCTCATGAGTAAGCATATTCAATACCATTTTTTTTCAGTCCAATAGCAGTGCGGGTAGTTACTCGTTGAGTACTCATTGATACTGAGTGCGAGTGCTTTTAGGACATGAAATTTCATTTGACATCAGGATAACACATTGAGAACCAAACCTTTCTTTCTGACGCAGATGACAATTCGGTGATGTGTCAAACTGCCACAGTATAGCGCCAACTACAGACGAGAAGGACTTGCTCGATTTCAGATTTTCTTTGCCTTCAGCATTGGCGGATGGTATCAGCATCCTTCAGAAGCACAAGATACCTAAAAATAAAGCTTGTTTTGGGCCAGTACTGATATCTGGTATTGCTACTCACCCATGGGTGGATTGTTACATGAAGCATTACATGGCTGTAAAAAAAAGAAAAAGAAAAAAATAGACAAAATTAGAAGTACTGACATTTGTTTCTGACACTATGACAAAAACATTTAGTAATGTGTCCGTGTGTATTTTAAATTGACACTCAGCCCCACATTCCACCTCAATCACTTAGTCCAGTGGTTCTTAACCTTGTTAGTGGTACAGAACCCAACCAGTTCATATGCACGTTCACCGAACCCTTGATTAATGAAGAATAAAAATATGATTTTTTACAAATTCAATACAAAAAACACATTTATTAAAAACAGAAAAAAGTTAATAAAATTACATGGCAAATGTATAGGCTTTTTAAAGTGTATGACGTACTATCACGACAGTCACATGGTGAAAACTGAGCGAACTAAATTTCCCGCAGCACTGATTGGACAAGCAATGTAATGTGATCATCTGCTGCCAGCGATGGACAAGCGGGCGTGTCATAACTAATTGACATGTTGACTCGGGTATGTTTTAACCTCCATTGCAGAGGCTCCGTCGAACCCGAGACCGATTCACCAAACCCCTGTGGTTCGATCGAACCCAGGTTAAGAACCATTGACTTCGTCACTTCTCCACCATGACGATTCAATGCACACGTACTGTACACGGTGTAAAACGAAGATATACTGTATCAACCTATAAATTAATACCATGATAGAATGGGACCATGAATATATTTTATGTTTGTACTTGGCAGACTAGATGTATATCAAAATAGTAATATAATATAACGACAATAAATCACTGTGAAAATACTAACAAGCCGCCTTTGCTTTTTGGGAATACAGGGAAGTGCAATATTCGCACAAGTTGCTGTTCTCTAACAGCATCCTGCAATCAGACAGGGTGCATACATTAACACTGTCGTTTGTTTCTGCCATCGGTGCTGTGTGGTTGGATAGGGGTGAACACAGCGAATGACCTCTGCTGGTGGCTCCACTGTTCCCAAATAATTCTCAGGGGATGTTGCGTAAGGTGGGCCCATTTGTTGCAAAACATCGCAAATTCTCATTATGTCATGATATTCTTTTGCACAAAAACGTACAGTATGTACATTATGTGCACTACAAAGATCTTTTTATTTGTAAGTGACTTTGTGACTTCCTCACCACGCATTCTGAACTAAATATTTTAAATGATTTCATTAAAAAAAAAAAAAGAACTTTGGTTCTGACTTTGCTGGCAACCAGTTCAGGGTGTACCCCGCCTACTGCCCTAAGACCGTTGGGAAAGGCTCCGGCACGCCCACGACCCTCGTGGAGGGAAGCGGATTAAAAAATGGATGGATGGATGTTCTGACTATATAGCAGCGAAATTTATTTGTGTTATTTCGAGGGGAAATGTATGCATTTTAGCTTTTGAGTCCCTTCACCAAAGTTATAAACTTCCAAACTAATTTTAAAGGGGAAGCAAACTACAATACAATAATTACAATAATTAGTTCATATGTATCTATACTCATTGAAACCTGGGATATTGCTTTGTAGAATATGAACTAATCAACCCGTTTTTATCCATCTCAGGGCATTTTGCCACTTTCTGTCGCGATCGCTCAGGGCTCAGGTAATGACCAATAACAAATGTCACATGACAAAACTCACAAAACAGATGAGCTCTGATTAGTCGTTAGCTTAACATTGTGATGTCATTCTCAGTTGACAGCAAGTAGCGAAATGGCCCCTGACATGGATAAAAACCGATGGACTTTGCTGCTTAATTCATATTTCACAAGCTCAATATTGATGAGAATACTGTGTTTAGAATAGCGGGGCTGTATAAAATATATTATTGCCAAGATTATTCTAAAGTTGACTTGCCCTTGCAAGCCAGGAAAAAATTTTGCTCAGTGCTATTTGGAGAAAAAAATGGCTATGGTAGCCTGAAAAGTTGCCAAATCTCGATAAAAAGTGTTCAATTGGCACCAGTGAGACCAAAACAATCACCAGCTTGAGCCCTCTTGCAAGTGGTGGCCCATAGTACAGTTAAAAATCAGTTTGCTTAAGATGTAAAAGACACCTGACCTTGGTCAACTACAAACTATGGACACGTACATTACGTTTTATGTCTTTATTTCAGCATGTTTGCAGTGAGCGGCGCATACATGCTTAATATTTACTCCCTTGCTGATGCATGGTGATGTCCTAAAATCAGTGGCGGATGCTGGTCTCTCAAGGAGGGGAAGCTCAATTTTGGCCTACATCATAAAATGTGTCCGTTTATTTATACGTGGATTCTACTCTCCGTTCTTTTCCAGGGACTTAACTTGTGTCCTACAACTACAGCAACTACAATAAAACCCACCAGAAATAAAAGATTAATTTTTCGCTCGTCGTTTTCAACAGAGTGTCGCTCAGATGATTAGAAGAAGTCTCCAGTTCAACTCAAAACAGAATGAGAATTGAAAAATGCTCCCATGATGCCTACGCCAAAATATCAGTGATTGGCTCATTTCACTGTCAATCAAAAAGAGATTCAGCCTCAGACAGATCATCCAATCATCATGCAGAAAAGCTTAGCGTCCGGGCCAGCCCATAAACGCCCACTGTCCATAGACTCCCAGAGACGCTGAGCATACGATGGGCGGGACAAAACCAGCATTTATCCAATGACTCGTCTCGTTTCAATGCATTGGGACTACTCTCTAGACACCCAGCGTCCGCACTGTAGATGCTCAGCATCCACACAGTTTAAAGCACAGTGAAGCTGCGGGAATGAATGAGAAGAGAGTCGCGTCGTAACCAGTAATAAGAAGCTGTTTCGGAAAAAAGTTGAGCACGTTGTCGCGCATAGTCAATGACATGTACACACAATTGTATGTACACACATGTATTTGATCACTTATTTTTGGACATTTTAGGGGAAGCTGAGCTTCCCTTGCAGTCTTAGAGCAATCGCCTCTGCCTAAAATGCACATCGGAGAGCAACACTTGTTTTTAACACCGGGAGAAGTGAATATCGGGTGTGAAACTTCACAGCCCTGTCTCAGTGCAGTTTATAGACATCAGTGACCTGGAAAAATGCTGTCCTTAACGCCCATTCTCCCTGTGTGTCATTTTGTACTGTGTGCAGGGTTTGATCTCTCCTCATCTTGTTGGTTGTGCTTGCCTGCCCTACTGATGGATCAGTGTGACCGAATTGTTTATTATTTTATCTCTGCCCGATTAAGAGCAGGATTACAGTTAACGTGGAAGTAGGATTAGGGAGGTTATAGTGCATGTCTTAAGACTGCGATGACTCACTTGAAGGGCAATGACACTCGGGTTCATGTCTGTGAGCTCATCTGGTTTATAGAGCAAACAGCTCAATTGGGCAGATCACTGTTGGGATCCCACTGTGGCCGGAAGTCAAAAGAAACCACAAGTAGTTGTTGGAGAGATGCTAGTTTGCTTCGTGACTATTGATGAGGTGTCACTGAGCAAGGTATCAACCCTCCCCAACTTCAGCTCAAGGCCACAAAAAAAGGGCCACAACATCCTATTGCAACTGGCTTGCATGCTTGCATGTGTGTGGTCTGGTGTCATGTATGAAAGCACAGTATACAAGCAGTAGTTGATTGAATCCCCCTTTAGTATTAAATAAGCCAACACTTCAGTCAGAAACGCAATTGGTTAAGTTGCCACAGGGATAGCAGACAGTTAAGGAATAAGCTGTTTGCGTCAGGGAGAGGACTTGCCCTTCTCTCACACAAACATCAACACTTAGCCACACAAAAGACACCCAATCCTCTGGATAAGTTAGACTGGTAATCGACTACAATAAAATCATTCCCATCCATATCAATGCGCCAAAAGCAATAAGTATAAATGAACAGAGTGATCACAAACACAAATAACTTCACCTATCTAGGAATCATCATTTGCAAATACGGGGTACCACCTAAGACATTCACAATAGGATAAGAAAGTGTGTGCAATAATCCACAGATCATGCCTCTGAAAAATTATGCATACATTCTGGACAAACGCAATGTCTAACAAGAACTTTCTCAAGATTACCCAGCAAAACCACATGCATACAAAATTACAGAAATGCAGGTGGACCTGTACCGGAAACGTGCTCAGAATCGAAACGACAGCAATACGTTTAATTTGCATCGTATTGGACCCCAGAGGGCAAATGAAAAAGAGGGAGGATCAACATGGCGTAGGACCATGAAAAAAGCTGGCGAATCAGAGAGAAGATGTCCAAGGACAGGCAGAGAAGTGGAGAGAAGCCTTTGTTGCTGCCCTATGCGCCAACCAGCACAATGGGAATGACCGACTCAGTGACTGACAGTAA